CCCCCATCCCCAAAATTTTCTCAGCGGATTTAGGCTGTACTCAGCAAGCGCAGTACAGCCGCCAGCTCAGATTTGAAACAAAAAAAGTGGATGGCTGTTTTCTGACTGGTCGGCACCCCGCCGACTGGTCGGGTGCAAAACGGTCGGCGGTCGGGTCGGCGTCGGGGTCGGCGGTCGGCAGGTCTAAAACCCTGCCAGGCACTCTATCCAGGTGAACGAGAGCCGAAGAGCGCCAACCATTGTACTGATCCTCCTTAAACCACCAGTACTTCTGAGCCTCTTTTCCCCGGCAGGGATATGCACTGTGTGGTGCACGCCAAAAAAACACCAACCCCCAGCGGGCCAGCGGTGCACTTCTTTTCTTCTGTGGCTGGCACTGCCAGCCATTATGGTCCTGTAGGCTGTAGCACTATTCATCCGAAGAACACGGATTGGCGCAATTTCGATTATCACGTTTGCCTGGGCGAGGTGATGGCCGTTTTAAGAACTAATGTGAACGCTTCCTAGAGTGCCGCATTTGGTGACACCCGTTACAAGGATCCATGTCGGAAAAAAAAAAAAAAGGAAGCCCCGCCGCTCCTCCCCAAGCTTTACTGGGCCTTCACATCCATGTCGGGGAAAAAAAAGAAGCCCCGCCAATCCTCCCCAAGCTTTGCTGGGCCTTTACAGCCAGGACTGAGCCCCGTTTGCTGGCATTGCGAAATCGGAACAGTGTTCCCTCAATCCGGAGACATGTGTAGGTCCACCCTGGTACTCACCGGATTTGTACTTGTCAATTCTGCATATCACCCTTTAGGAAAAAATTAACTATACGCCTAAGTGTATACACACTTTGAACCCGAAAAGAAATATTATTTTGACATGTATTTATCAATTTCGCAAATTTGCACCCACCATTGACTATTTGGCACATCTTAAAGGTGCTCAGTGCTCGCTTAGACACAGGAGGAGAATAAAGGAAAACACCAGAGGGCACTCAAAACGGGCAGCACAAAGAAAATGCTTAGAACAAGAAGAAGAACAAAAGTCAAAGGTAATATGATTCTGTGTGTGCATGTGTGTGCATGTGTGTGCATGTGTGTGCGTGTGTGTGCATGTGTGTGTGTGTGTGTGTGTGTGTGTGTGTGTGTGTGTCTTTTGGTTAGCATGGAGCCTGAACATTCACTTAACAGCCCCATACAAGATAACTTGCTTACTTTCTTTTGCTTGAGCAGGTGATAGCCACTGTCTCTCAGCAGCCTGGAACACGGTGGTTCTTCGAGGAGAAAAGCGGATGCTGACGCCTTTGCTGGTAACAGGGCTGAAGGTGTGTAGAGGAGAATGCTGCTGCTGTCATGGCTATTTTCTATCTCCTTGGTATCACTGTTTTTTGTACGAGAAGTTAAGAAATTAAGAGAACTTACGAATCTTAAAGCACCACTACCTTTCCCGCTATTGGGAAAACAGGAAAATATCATACATCACGTGCGCCGCATAGCGCACACGCACACGAGCGCGCGGACGTGATGCGGCGCAATTTTACGAACTAAAAAAAAAAAAATTCGAAAGGGCAGGCTGTGGTAACCAAATGTGTGCCTCCCTTTTGAAAATTGTAAGTGCGCAGAAAAAATAAAAATAAAAAAAATTGGTGCCACATCGTACTCCTCATTGGATCTAGTCTCTTTTCCAAAGGGTCCCCTGCAAAGAATTAGCAGGGAACATTCATCGAACTGCTGGAGGATCACAAGCAGGCCAGCAATATGTTCCGGATTCGGATTCACCTCTGTGTTCCAAGAGTTATGGGTTACGAACAAACACTACAGTAGCTGTCTCGTTTTTTGGTTTTCCTTTTCTTACGTGCAGTGGCCGTAAGGGCCTCGCTCCTCTCATCAGCACTTGCACAAAAGAAAAACATATGGCTTGTATGGTTCCAGTTTCTAGGAGAAGATTCATTCTAGTTTTGCACATTTGGTGAGTTGTGGAGTGAAGCCCTGAAAATCACATGCCAAGTTAGTAAGTCAGTAGCCCATAACGACTGGAACACGGACTTGAATTTGAAGCTGCACCATATATAACTGGCCTGCTCCGTCCTTGCTTCAAGTCCAGCGACTATCCTTCACCTGCTGACGAGATCCTTGCTAAGTTGGCAGGGAACTTTTGAAGAGCGGGCAGGGGTTTTCTGAATGATGCGAAAGGGGCGAAAGGGCTCTTCTCTCTCTCTCTCTCTCTCTCTCTCTCTCTCTCTCTCTCTCTCTCTCTCTCTCTCTCTCTCTCTCTCTCTCTGGCCCGCTCTCTCCCTCTCTCTCTCAGTGCTTGGTACGTCGTTCTTGGGACTTTGTGCCGTACGGTCTTGCCTACGCGACGTACTGACTTGCCTACGCCCACCTAGGCGACCTACCTACAGCCTGCGCGACCCATGCGACCTGCCTACGGCCTGCCTACCGTAACACTCTCTCTTTCTCTCTCTCTCTCTCTCTCTCTCTCTCTCTCTCTCTG